GACTTGCATGGTCTGGATGGATTGTTCCGATCGTTCGTTCGTCTGCTTGAATCGAACGAGTCGCAACTTGAAGTCTCCCTGAAGTCGATGCATGGAAGCAAAGTACGTTCCATTTCGTCATGAGACAAGGTTCGACGTTTCCGAGACCAACGGGACGTGTTGTTGCGTGAATTGTATGGTCTTTTACGGCGCTTATCACCGTCCTAGATAAGGTTCAACATGGCTATTGGTGGGCATCAGTGCCTCACCTCCCCGTGTGAGGTCAACGCAAACTTTGTCTTTCAGAGCTCACGAGACCGGCGTCCGTTACATTCCTCACCCTCTTGCCATCCAAGCAACATTCTTAACCCAATATTTGAATGGGCGCCATACTTACCCCAGAACAGAATCATCCAGACTTGGAGGAAGACCTCCCACATGAATAATCTCCCTATCCCACCAGGCCGGGTTTATAGTGTCCCTCTCTGTTGAAATAGTGGGCTGGGAACCAGGGAACGTGAACTTTGTCATGCTTCTTCTCTGGACACGATCCAGTAGCGCTTTGTGAGCACCGATAATGTTAGCGATGACGATGAGCGCTAAGAATGTAGGCGTGGACGTGGGGAGATGAGCAACACAAGAACAAGTGAGGCCGCACACAAGTGGCCAGGTAGGATGAGAATGTGGAACGGAATAGGGAGTTGCGAGGACGAACAGACACCTTTCCCAGATGGTTGATTGTGGCAGAAATACTAGTATACTACTTTACATACTACTTTACAAGCGAGTAAACGAAACCTACCTTGACGAACTCTTGTGCAACGCACTATCTTCCAAATACATCACCAGCAAACAATAAAGAGGTCACTCACAACCTCCTCACCCACCTCGCCCATCTCAACTCCACTAATCCAACCCCCGTAACTCATCCGGAGGAGCAGACTCGACATCAACCCTCCCCTCCCCATCCATCCCCGCTCCCTCCAAGCTAACATCAATCCCCCTCTCCCTCATCACCTCCGCCTCCTCCACACCCAAACCCAATATATCCCTCGGTAACCAAATCGTTCTCTGCGGATCAGCAGCAGCAGGGTGATCGAACCCTTTAAACCCTTCATCAATTTCGCCTTTTGATTGTTTGTCCGTCGAATCGCCACGTTTAGGAAAGGTGTCGCTAGTTTGTGCCTTGGCTTTGCCGTTGTTCGACACCGCCTCAGAACGTTTCTCGAGTGTGATACCACCTATCTCTCCACCGCCACCTTCCTCCGAGCCGTAAGATCTCTCGACCAAACTAAGAGGTAACAACTCGATTAAAGGTCCATAAGACCTACGCATCGAATATTGGAAGAAGGCCTGCCACACAATCACAGGATTCAGAATCACGAACCCGTTGTCAGGAGAAGGTGACGAACCGTCAAGAGTATCAACACCGCCATCATCACACCCTCACCCACCGAACTAGGCTTGCCCCTAACATCCTCCGCCAAAAAGAAAAGTGCACAAAGGCAAACCTGCATCACGTACAACCCAACGAAGACATGTTGCAGCGCCTTGGGGAAGAATAGCCCACCGGTTTCCGTTGATGACGGTTGGTCAAAGACCCAGAGGAAGAGGTATTTGTAGAGGAGGTAGAAGAGGTAGAAGATTACGCAGGCGAGGCCGTTCATTATTGGTGAGATGAGCATATAGGCGAGAGCTAATGTGGATAAAGTCTAATGTGTAAGATTGGATGAGGGGGAGGAGAAAGGGACGTACAGATCACGACGAGAAGCGTTGTTCCGGGGTAGAGAGTTCCCCAAGCGACTGAGCTACTTTTGTATTTGATGTCGTACACCGAGCGAGGAGTCGAACCCAGAAGAAAGAGCTTGAAATAATACAAGATTAATGGGATCGCTTGTAGGAAACCAGCGGCCGTTCCGGAGAGACCTTGGAGGAGGATGTATCTAAGGGGAGGAGAAAGTAGTGTCAAGACATAGCACGACAACGAGGTAAAGGACAGCTGGGTTACGAACGTTAAGAAGAAAGTCGAAGCCTGGGGTAGATGTGTTGCCAGCAAACTCGGAATACCAGCGGGGTGGTTGACGAGATTCGGAAGGGCGGCGATAATCCCAGACGCAACTGTAACAATCAAGAATGAGTGCTAGAAACCCACGCCATGAGTAAGACCAAAAACGAGAACGACATGGGATGGTAAACGACTCACCGTAAGCTGGAATGTGAAATAACGGGTCATCAAACTCAACTCCACTCCGCTGTACTTTGGGATACCCTCAAACTTGGCCAGCATTCGGAGAACAATGGGCAAGAGCATCATCAAGATGGCCAAGAGAATGGGGGGAAGGATACCCTGAATGATGCCAACGACGGCATTGGGGAGCTTGCAGACCCATGCGAGCCAACTATAGGTCGTACACAAGGAATGTACATTCGAGACCGCGCCGACGAAAGCCACTGCGAAATGCCATTTTGAACTCAGTGAAACTCGAACCTCGACGATGATTTTAGGACTTACCGGGGAAAGCCCATAAAATGATCAATGCGATGGTGAGCATCCAGCTAATAAACTTCCTTATGCTCCGCTCGTAGGGATCCAGCCCCAGATTGGCCCAAATGACGTCCTCGGGGGCGACTTCCACAAACTTTTCTCCCATCTTGTATGGCTCGTTATGCAACAACGCTGACTTCGTTAAATGCGCCGCAATCTGCTTGTTGAACATCACAAATGCGGAGGTGACGGGAGGGTAAGTTCGCTCGGGCTCGGTGGTCACGCGTGAGCCCTCGGAGGGTGGGGGCGGAAAATAGGAATGGGAACGGTCACTGGAAGCCACACCCTGGCGGAGAGCCTTCCGCCCAGCGGCGAGTTCTTCGTTGAGGAGAACGATTTCGTCTCGAGACCAATCGATAGTGTCCACTTTTTGTCCGATGAGGGGAATAGAGAAGGGCATGAATCGAGCTGGAAGGCGATGAGTAGGTCTCTTGTTCCTCAGGACAAGTCTTTCAGCCAGTCCGATGTTTCTCTCGACGTCCTCGCTCGTGCTCGGGATACTCCGCTCCGTCGGCGGCGTCGCATCTCCCCCAGTTTGCCGAGTCACTTCCACATCCGCCTCGTCATCACGCCCGTTTCTTTTTGCAGCCTTCCCCGCCTTCTTCAACTGCTTATTCCTCAACTTCGTCGCTTTGTTCAATAGACTCGTCTCGGCGACCTCTAATTTTGTACAAGCAGCAATCCGGCGCTCGTGGAGGCCAGGAAGGTCCTTCAGATCACGGTTTAGCCAGACTTTACGGACGCCTCCCGGGAGGTGGGAGAAGAGCCGTCGTAAAGCGATTTCAGAGAGGTATTCGTTGGGGATGTCGGTCACGAGGACTGTGCTAGCTTGAGGCGAAGAAAAGTGGTCTGGATTAACGAGCCAGCGTTGCCGTGTGGCGACGTAGTGCCTCATCTCGTGTTGGATGTTGAACCAGATCCATACTACCAAGAGATGTCGATATCAGCGCAGGCTCAGTGGCAGGAAGCAACAAATGGACGACGAACTAGTGAAGCTCCAAGCCAAGAGAAGATGGGCCCAATAACGAGCCTGCTGTGAAGGAGACATATTCCCAAATGTGAACCTGTCGAGACCAGAGTTGTTGCCGGCACGAGTCGCGATCGCATCGACGGGCAAGAGGACGACCCAGGTTACAAGCCAGATGGGTAGGAATATTCGAACTATCATACGAAGAAACCTGACGAAAAAGTAGGCATCGGGACCATTTACTCGCTTGATATCACGAAAGTCAGAGTTGATGAGCGTGATGGGCCATTTAAAGATCCCCCCGGCGAGCGATGAGGTTCGTTTACTGAAGGAAAACAATCTAGTTGAAAATCTCAGGAGAACGAAGAATGCTGGAGATACATACCTCGCAACAGGGCTAAGAGACCGCGGTTCGTAGATGAGTCGAAAGTGCGGCCTCAAGATGGAGAACGCAGTGATCTCTATAGCGAATACGGCTGCATTGAAAACGAGGGCCGCAAGAAACGACGCGGTCGACGCGGTCTGTGCCTGGTCTATCGACGACCTAAAGTATCCATCCAGTCAGTCAGGACGTGAAGGTAAAGGATAGGTCAAGGCGGGGGAGACAAACGTACATGGTGCACCGAGGGGTGTAAGGGTGGAGATGTAGAGGGTCTATATAGGTAGGCCACCATCCGCAGATCCTGGGTGATCGAACGTACTGAATCAAGAAGAGATGAAGTCGATCGAGGTTCCATTCCGGGTGCGTTAGCTAGCATATCAACGGAGGGGGAACGCGGTGTGGATGTGATATTGTCGTATCAAGTCCTCGAGATAAATAACACTATGTCCAACACGATGTACTCAACGACCTGGGGTGTTCACCCTATAGTAGGGAGAATCTGTTCGGAGGGAGGGGGGGGATACCTGTTCGCAGAGCGGGAACCGTCAGTTGCAAATACCTCGATAAATGGTGCACCGCCGTACTGAGTCGAGTCTGATGATAATGGTCTTCGCGCGCTGATTCGTGGAAGGACGCCTGAGAAGATTCAAGGGTGATGAAAACCAGTTGAAACCTCCTGCATTCACTTCGAATTCAAAGTGCCCAATAGCAATAGATCGACGATGTAGTCTCGATTCCCTCGAGGATGATCCATGTGGACCAAGGTAACGCCGACGATGCACAAAGACTCGTTCGTCTGTATCTTCAGTATTTTCATGAAGTTCATGGTCGTCTTGATCCCACAAGCCCCAAAGGAAGTACTGATGTTAGGAAATTTGCCGCTGGGCAGTTGTCAACTTGACATGGGATTTCATTACTCTGTAAGTACACAGGCTTATGGGGCTTGGTTTTGCGGCCGTTTCAGCACTGTCGTCCAGAGATTGTCCAGAAGGAAGCTAGCGGATGACACCACGTAGTAAAGTCAAGAGGCGCAAGCAACACAACAGTCCAGACTTGTGCTTGCTCGGAAACTGGGCCGACTTACAGAAATGGCTTCAGAGAAAAAAACGCTCCATTCTGTCAAAACAAGTCAGCACCGTGATTTGAACACGGGACCCTGCGATGTTAAGCGAATGATATCACTGCAATCGCATGCTATAACCACTTAGCTATGCCGACTTGTTACGAAGGATGATCAAAACGAATATGAAGCAATACATCCCGAAGGGGCCTGCAAGCCCCCACATTGTCAACGACCGTCTCCTTTCAGACGACCACCGCAAGTCGAAAGAAAAAAAACTGAGCGACTTGAGAAGGACAGGAGTTCTGCTGGCTGGGCAGGGATAGGGTACTGGCTAAATCATGGGTAGCCCAGATGACTTATCGAAGCGAAAGACCTGTTTTCTTCCAGAAATTCAGATGGATAAATATCCAGAACGCATAGGATGAGTGAGAGGCTCAGTCATATTCAGATCGCCGAGGGATCAAGCAAGGATATTAAAGTGTCGACAGGAAGGTGGGCAGTGGTAGCGCGACCTCAAAGCGGTTTCTGGGGTCCCAGAACGCGTCCTTGTATCTGCAGGACGCGTCACCCTGAATCTTGACCAACACGCTCGACCTTACCCAGATTCCTCACCGAGTTACCTTTGCCCATAATGACCGACGTCGAAATGAAACAAGATGACAAGGCTGAGGATAAAAAGTCTCAGGAGGAGAAGGAAAAGGCGACACCACCCCCGCCTCCTCCTTCACCCACAGCCGAAATCAAGTCCAATATTGCTCTGATCGAGAGAGCCGTTGCAACAATCGAACCGAGGTATACCTTGCGTGTTCTTCGAACACTGACGGCTCTCCGGAAGAAATTGGATGACAAGGTGCTGCAGGACGCCATCGAGGATGTATACCCCAAAGGTAAGGTCATGGATATCTTTCGACCTCCTTCAACTGACCGCATAAATCAGACTCTGCTGTCAAGAAAGCACTACTTTCTTGGCTTCCTGAAGCATCAGCCGTTGACCACTCGATGGACGTTGACGCAGCTCCAACTCAATCCACACCCATCACTTCTGACCCCGTACCGGAATGCGAGATCTACCTTCGACTCCTCCTCATCCACCACCTCCTTACCTCACAAAGTACCTACCCCAAAGCATTGGAGCTCGCTCAAGAGACTGTCGCCAAGATGCAGGTTCTCAATCGCCGGAGTATGGACCCCTTGGCCGCGAGAGTCTGGTACGCCGTTGAGAGGACCTATGAACTCGCTGGTGAGCTTGCAGATGCCCGGCCGTCAGTCCTATCTACTCTCTCCTCTCCCTGTACAATTCTGATTGTCGGCGCAGTCTATTCCTCGCTGCCCAACGAACAGCTTCACTTCGCCACGATGACGAGACACAAGCATCCCTCATCAACCGCCTCCTCCGAAGCTATCTCCACTACAGTCTCTACGACCAAGCAGACAAGCTTGTGTCGAAGACGACATTCCCTGCTTCTGCCTCCAACGCCCAATATGCTCGATACCACTATTTCATTGGTCGCATCAAGATGGTGCAGTTGAACTACAGTGCGGCGCATGCTAATTTACAGCAGGCGATTAGGAGAGCTCCCCCACCGAAGGTTGCGCCTGGCTTTTACCAAGCCGTGCATAAATTATTTGTGGTGGTCGAGTTGTTGATGGGTGACATTCCCGACAGAGCCCTCTTCAGGCATCCCGTCCTGGAGAAGGCTTTGGAAGGCTATTTCGAGATCGTGAAAGGTGAATTATGATAATACTCGCCTGTTTCGCATCATGTCTAACCACCACATCCCAGCCGTACGAACTGGTTCCTTATCTCAGTTCCAAACCACCTTGTCGAAGCATGCGGCACTATTTGAAGCCGATAAGACGTATACGCTGATCGTCCGTCTGAGACAGAACGTTATCAAGACTGGTATCCGCCGTCTGTCTCTGTCTTACTCTCGCATTTCCCTTCGCGACATTTGCGTCAAGTTGCATTTGGATTCGGAGGAGGATGCCGAGTATATCGTTGGGAAAGCTATCCGAGATGGTGTCATCGAAGGTCGGATCGTGCACGAGAAAGGCTGGATGGAATGTGGGGGCCAAAAGAGCGGTTATGGTCCGGAAGTTGCAGAGGTTTTCCAAAGGCGTATTGGGTATTGCCTGGAATTACACAACCAGAGCGTCAAGGTCAGTTGGCAAAACCCTCTCTCCTTTCACGTTCTCTCCAAACCCGATACGGGCCCACAAACACACACCATTGGCGGATTTTTCATACTCCCAAACCTCGCCGCGCACTAAACTTCTATTGACATCGCTTGCTGACTGGACTATTTTAGGCTATGCGGTACCCATTGAATGCCCACCGCAAAGAGTTAGCGGCCGCGGAAGGGGCCCGAGAGCGCGAAAAGGAGTTGGCTAAGGAGATTCAGGAGGGTGGGGATTTGGATGACGATGAGCCCCTGGGCGATGGATTCTGAATCTGATGTTATCTGCCAACGCCAATTTTTGAACGCCGTCGAATCTTGTTCAGTGATTTGATTTTAGATTATGGATCTTCAGTTCTGAGGTGCGAACTGCCTTTTGTGCATAAGGTTTGAGAAACCTCATGTCGAGGAAGGCGCTTTGCGATGATCGCCTGCGGTCCCATTTGGCTCGCCCTTTGGGCAGGTGATATGAGCTTGCTACTTGCCGAAAATTGCAATCGTTTGTGTGTACGTTCTGAGTTCTCCGTCCCTGCGTGGATCAAATCGGACGAGATATCCATCGAACCTCCAAAATCCGACCTCCCTGTAAGCAGAATTCAGTCCTCTGCATCCGATCTTTCCGCTCAAACGACTTTCTCATACTATGTACCTATTCACTTTGTATCTGTTGCGAATAACGTCAAACAATGTTACAAACCAGGAACGATGCTTGGAGGATGTCGTTAACTCCACGATCAAAATGATTTTCAGGTCCCGCGATCCTCCAAGAAGCAAAAAGATTCCGCTAGAATTTGTCTCCGTTTGGCAAGACTGCTCCGCCGAGGTTTGTTGACAACCAGAAACTGTTTAGCATCTCTCCCACCATGTTGATGCGGAGGTAGTCCACAGGGTCAAGCAACGCTAGTCGCTACGAATAAATATCCAAGGACGGCGAAGATTTTTTCAGGCGCCCTTTGGACCTCCTTCCCCTCCTCCTCGTCCCTAATCTTGACTGAGCCTCTCTGGTCAAGTTCGAGTCAAAATGGAGCCCGTTACGACTTTGCACAGAGATGATAGCGCTGACGAAAAGTCTTTGAATGAGAAGGGATCAGTTTCGGACGGGTCTCTGGAGGCGGTTAACTACGATTCCGGAGTGGACGTTGCAGTCGGCCTCGTTACGGGACACGCTGATGACGCTGATATCGATCCCCAAGAATCTCGACGACTACGAATCAAGTTGGACTGGCATTTACTTCCTTTACTATTTGTGATTTATACTGGTGAGTTCTTATCTTGTACGGCAAGCAACGACTTTCAACTGACTTGACGCCTCAGTTCAATTCATTGACAAGTGGGTCCCTTGACTTTGGCTTTTAGATTAGACATTGATGGTCTTCTAGGCAAACGCTTGCCGCCTCTTACGTCCTTGGAATCGTAAAGGATAACCACCTCAATACGGATCAGTGGAACACTCTCGGAAGCGCCTTCTACATTGGTACTTGTTCCACTAACTCATTCTTGTCCACTGATACGATTCAATTCACTCGTACAGGATATCTCGCATTCGAAATCCCTCAGAATTGGGCATTGCAACACTTCCCAGTGGGCAAATGGATGTCTCTCAATATCCTTCTTTGGTAAGCCTTTTGTGTCCCTCGTTAATTCATGAACTGACGGATTCTGTTTAGGTGCATTTTCTTGGGCCTCCATTGCGTGTGCCACAGCTTCGGTGGTCTCTGTAAGTGGACTGCCGCCTCCGTTCAGTTCAACGCTAATCGACTCGAGCAGTCATCTTGCGCTTCTTGCTCGGAGCGTCGGAAGGATGCATTACGGCTGGTGCGTTTGATAACTGAAAGGATGTTATCAATGCTCTGATAGACCGCGATCTTAGGTCTCATGCTGGTCACATCGATGTTCTACACTCGGACGGAAATCGGTGAACGTATCGGCTGGTGTGTTTAGAAGGTCTATCGATCTCCGCGTTTCCTCCGCTGACGAGATCACTCCGTTTCAAGGACTTTCCAGTGCAACGGTGTCGGTACTATCATCTCTGGCTTCATCTCCTTCGGTGCATATCACATCGGAGAGAAAACGAAGCCAAACCAATGGCAATGGCTCATGCTCATCTCCGTCTTCCTCTCCCTGATCATCTTCGTCCTCTTTATCTTGTTCTTCCCCGATAACCCCACCACCGCGAAGTTCTTGACTGAGGAAGAGAAGTTGAAGGTGGTCAAACGAGTTCAGGGTAACCAGAACGGTATCGAGACGAAGGTTTGGAAGAAGAAACAATTCATTGAGGCTCTTACCGATCCCAAGACTTGGCTGTTGTTCCTGTTTGCTGCAGTTGCGTGAGTGCTATCGGATTCGTTCCTGGGGGGGGGGACTGATGGCGGTCATTTTAGCGATCTTCAAAACGGTTTGGGAGCACAGTATGCTCGAGTCATTTCGGAGTTCGGCTTCACCAACCTCCAGACAACTTTGTTGAATATTCCCTCCGGCCTAACTGTAAGGCTTCTTTTACTCCTCCTATATTGACGACTAATGGAACTTCTGATAGCAAATCATGGGTATCACCCTCGGCTGCTACCTTCTCAGGTTGTTCCCTGTGAGTAGATCTATTCTTTTCATTGCCACTCCCTTTTATTAACCGCATGTACAGAATTCCCGTATCTACATCGGCGTTGCATTCTGGATCCCCTCTATCATTGCGGCATTCATCCAGCTCTTCCTACCGTTTAGCAACAAGGTACAGACTCTTGATAATCATGCATTGCATCTATCGACGACTGACCTCGCTTTTTAGGTCGGCCATTTGGTATCTATCTACGTCTTGAGTACGTTATATTCTCCGTTTCCCGATAACCCTACTGATTCCTTTTCCACCAGACTTCGGCGGCGCTCCTGCTTTCATCATGACCCTTAGTTTGTGCGCCTCGTCCACATCGGGACACACGAAGGTTCGTTGGAATCTTTGTCTTGTCTGTTTGCACATGACTTAC